AAATAGCACAGGGTCCCCTGCTTAGAACAGCCCACGCGTGGTTTAATGTTGCCATCTTGAGATGCTTAATATTTGTAAACAAGAGGCCCCCCCATTCCCAGTGTTGCACTGGACCCCAAAAATAATTTGGCCAGTCCTCCCTGTCTCGTTTGTATGTACCTTGTGACATTAATTGAGCTTAGAGGCATATGGGTTTAATATTTATGAAACTCTCAGTAGTTCAGAAGCTCCCCACTTTCCTTAGGAGATTTGCTCCAGACCTCTCAGTGCAGCATGGTATGAAAAGCACCCCCCCCCATACTGACAGCCCTAAAACTTCCTTAGCCCCATCTTCTCTACTCTGACCTCCTTCCCTTCAAATGTAAACTCCCAGCTACCATAGTACTTGCTGCTTCTAAACTTGTGAGCTCGCCAGATGCTGGGCCTTTGCATATCCTGCTCCCATCCTGTCTGGGGCTGCCCTCTGTCTCTCTCCTGGCCAACACCAACTTACTTCACAGGTGTGAACCTAGATGTCCCTTCCCTGATCTCCCCCAAACTGAGATATGGGGCTCTCCTAGCACCCTGTGCTAAACATATAGTGGCATTTATCTTGCTTTCATGTTATTTTCCGTTTATTTCTCCATTTCCCTCTGTAAGTTGTGAGTTCCCTTTACGTAGAAAGTGTCTCATGTTCTCTGAGCTGCAAGCCACACTCAGCTCCAAGGAGGTAGTTGCTAAGTTTCCATTCACCAGATTCATGACTGCATGAATGAACAGATCCCGGGTTTATTTGGAGAGTGCATGAGGAGACCTATAAGGTTTTCTTTTGAACCACCAAGGACTGAGCAGTACTTACATCATTGAGGAAGACGTTCAAGAGCACCCTGTGTCATAGGCACGTGGATTCCTTTTCCAACTCCTCCAGGGAAGGCGCTGCCTCCCTTTCTCCTTTTCAGGAGAGCTACATGGTAGCAGCTCTTTGAATTTCTCAGCCTTTGAGGGGTTTCCTGAGGTCTCTCCTGGGACAGACCCTAGGCCAGGTCATAGAGGAAGCTTCAGGGAGACCTTCCCTACTTCCAAAGAGTGTCTGGCCCTATGCAAGTCCTGGATCAAGATCAAGTGTTTCTTCCATCCCCTCTATCTGTGCTCCTGGTCTACATTCTATTCACCCCTACAAGGCCCAATTGAAATGCTAACTCCCCCCTGTTTTAATGTAATTGATGGCGCTAGGCTTTCCCACTGCATTGTCGTAATCTGTAGGGATACTCGGCACATGGCACACGTTCTGACTAATGCCATGGTGACCTGTGCTGTAGACTACACAGTCAATTTTGGGATCGGGAGCAGAGTGTTCTCATCTTCCAGCCTTTGTGTCTTTACTTCTTACAAATAGTCATCACTCAAATTAACCCTGGGCATTTTGGGTCACTAG